GCCTGCGAGACACTGTCTTTTGCAATAACATTTGGGGAAACTTTTTCACCAAAAAAAAAATGATATAAAATTGAGATCCGTTGATTTCACACACATTGTCATAAAATGTATATTTTTCGCGTTATCCAAGCTTAAATCAACTTTACTTTATCAACTAATTTGATTTTAATTTGAAGTCAAAACGAAAACTTTCTTTCTCAAATTGATTTTGATTCTACTACAGTTCTTTTCATTATAGTTTCTCACCTAACTAAAAAAAAATTATACGCTTTTTTGTTATTTGTCGAGACAGAAGCATTCATTTCAAGTGCAAAAACAACTTTATTGGAAAATCATCGACCGAAAAGGAACTAAAAAGAAACGTATACTATACACATAACACAGCACAGTCAGAGGAAGGATATGTGCTTGTTGCTTATCCGAAGAGAATAACCATCGAATTGTGAGTTAAATAAAAATTTACCAATGGCAAAATCGACAAAATTCGTTGACGATTGACGCCAGTGTAAGCGATTTGGCTGGCATTCAAAGTTGTTTACAAAACCAATATGGCAGTGTGTTATTGGCTACGTAATAAAATAAATGGTCAGTCATACTATTCCGTTCAATTTTCGAATCGAAAACTTTTCGTCGAATAAAACTAACCAAGAAGAAAATAGATTTTGACATCACAAACAAAATATACACATACAAGTTGCCAAGTTGATTTATTGTGACAACCAATCGACTCATATATAAATATATAGACAGAGATGTTTATCAACAGAAAAATTCCTACATAATTTAACATCAAACGATTACGTTTTACTTCATCAGCTGCTTTGTTGGTTCTTTTTTAGCTGGTCTATTTTTTTGTGCACCATCAACGCCCTTTACGGTGAAATTGAGTTTGGCAAAATAAAACCGGCAATATTTTCATGTTACCAGGGAAAGTTAATGTTGCGATCTGAGCGTAAATGCGTGTATTTTGCTCTCAAAAAATTTCTTCAACAGAGCTCGGTATAAAATACAAAAGCATGAACTCAGGAGTTTTTCTATGACATGGATGGAAAATTATAATCACATAACATGGCGGAACTTATCACAAATGCTATACACATATTTGGGTGTGTTCGGTGTGTGATTTCCTTTGATTTTTATCTCTTGGAATGTTGCCATGTAGTTCTGCCAATGCTTGTATCAATGTCTGCATCCATTGTAATGGTGAAATGCTGTTTCGCTTTTTTTCCCGTCAAGTTCATGATTTCGATATAAATTTGTGTTGTCACATTAGGAAATCGAAAATTGGGTTATTGAATTGATTTGGAGAATAATCGAAATTACGACAAAAATGATACAAACGAAAATTGATTGGTCTTTTGATTCATTCGAAGCTTTTTGTAATGAATATAGTGTTTCGGTTCATTGAGCTGGATTTGCTCTAATTCGGAAATAATTGGAATGAAAAACGTGTCCTCGTACTTTATAATATTTTACAACGAATTCGAAAGTTTATAATCAGTTTTTCACTGATGACACATGTTGTTGCTACATTGTTTTGAGTTTAATCAGCTTGTAATCAGCTTACAATTTACTCACGTATGTTTCATGTGTTCGCTCTCATAATCAATGACAAAAAAAGATCGATTTATCCATGTGGTATTCCGCATAAAACTAGCCAGATCTCGTTAAGAGACTAGCTTAATTGTGCTTAAGTTTTTGTAATCGTTTCCAATTCAATGCACATGAGCTTAATCAGAGACCGGTGGCATATTGTAACATTAACTGGCTTTTTAACAACATATCGAGAGCCGGCAAAAACATAGCTAGTACCTTTTAGGTACAAAGAAAGTTTTAAGATGAGTAAAGCCAGAAGAAAAATGGTTTTATTTGTTTAACATTTCTACAATCATTTTAATTAAATTCTTATTTTACGTGATGGTTTTGCGTTGTCAAAGCACTCGACGAAAAATGTCCATGACAGAAAGTTGCGCAGCAACTATGTGTTCGAAGGGAAAATTTCTCTTTTTTTTGTTTATTGAACATTGTTTTTCACTTTTCGAAGTAAATATCACCCGAAGCGAAACAACAGGAGGTTTGAAGCGAAAACAGAACCATCGCTTGAATTGAAAACAACTTTATCCATTTGTCCGATTATTCTCTTAGTCTCGAACATGTTTTTTTTTACAATGGTATCTATTTCTATCATTGTAATACGAATTTCAAAAGTCGTTACAAGGATTTTGTATTATATTCGGTGAAAAAAATGCGTCTGTCTGAATAACATAGAGTAAAATCCATTTGTTGTGTTTGTTTTAAGCTTAAATTTTTTTTTCATGTTCCATGAACTTGATCACAAACAAAATATTTCTGAATTTCGGCTTGGAATAGTGAACAGAAATTGTCAAGTAGAGATAGCGATGGAACAGTTTCCTTCAAGCTTTGTTCACAAACATTTACAACACACAGATGTGTAAATATATTTGGATAATTGTCGAACTTTCAGTAGGTTTTTGTGTTAGTTTTTTTGACAAAACCAAGCCAATGCATACACACAAATGATTAAATGTGGTTTAGTTTTGCTGCTGCTGCCGCCATTACTGACCGTGTGTCCAGAAACCATAGCATTTATTTATTCAAGACCAAAGACAAAATGTATTGCCAAAATCTATACGCTTTGTTTTATGTCAGATGTCCACTTGTTTAATTCGTTCCATATTATTCTACTTCTTACAATAGTCCCATTCATATGCGAATGTAGTTCATTTTGGATGGTGGCAAAAATGTAAGCATTTTCCAACATTTTATCGCTGGCTATCGCTCTCTCTCTCTCTCTGTCTGTCTCTCGTTATGCACTCAGATGGTGGATGCTATTTTGTAGCCACTTTGTCCAAGTATGCTCAAGCATCATCATCTCGTTTCGCATGGTCTGTGATGTGTGACTTTATATTCGGTCTGCGCACATACAATGATATCTTCCAATGTCATTTATTATTTATCGCTGATAATCAGTTGCATTCAAATTACTGCATACGCCAGCCATTTGCCACAGATAGATAAAGATTTGCTTAAGTGTTAGCCGGGTGTGATTGATGTAGTTCCGTGTAAATCGTTTCCAAAATGTTACACAATGGACCAATGTGCTCTCTCACACTTGAAATTGCTTTCTATTTTTAGCCGTGAAATGTGTAGCGTAAATTCGAGAAAATTGCAAGAAAATGTAATTTCTGTAAATATGTGACTGTGTGCATGTGTGTTTATGTCAATTTCGGCAAAACTCCATTTCCGGCAAACGATATATCGCTATTGCGGTGAAATCTACCGAGAACCCTTTGATTTGAATTACCGTTCCGCTATAGATAGTGCACTGTAGTGAACGAATTTACAAATATTAGTGTTTTTACACACTCTACCATTTCAATCAGCATAAACTTTTCAAATATTTAAATTCTTTTGAATAATTCATATCGTCGACACATGGAAACCGCCGATCACTTGCACACACATGAAGCCAGTTGTAGCATATTAAACACATAAACATCATAAAAAAGAACAGAATTTACGTTAACCGAAACGACAATTTCAGTCATATTTATTTAGAGAATGAAAACGTATGTTTTCCAATATTGAACATGCCACCACACTAAACAAAATCGATGCCGAAATGGCACTACAACTTTTCTTTCCCACTTCAATAAAATAACACAATTTCTATTTGTGTAACAGAAACATTTAAATCTCGTGTTATTCCGTCAATCTAACGCTTACGGCACTTTTTATATGTGTTTATATGCGACGTGGTAAGTGAATTTATATTTGAATTTGAAAGTGTAATTCGCTCTTATCCACATTTCATATCCGTACATGTTCGATATTGCGATAATCAATGATACCTTTTGTTTGTTTGAATTGTTCGTTTTTCTACTTTTATCGACCAAAGAAATCGAATATGTATGGGTACGCATACATTTTTATGGTTGTATGTGTGCCACTTAAAAAGTTTACCAAACAAAGTAAAATCGATTTTCAACCATCCGAGACTTTCGTTATCATCGAGTTTAACTCAGTTCTTTTACTTCGGGGAAATAACATAAATCGCCAAACATTTTTGCTTGTATATTTTACTGATGCCAACGATATAATTGATGCAAATTTCACTTGAGTTCCAGACCATTCTGTCTCTCTATCTCAACAAGTAAAAATGTTGTCTTGAAAAATCGCATCGGATCAAAAATTCTAAAGTAAGCTAAAGCGTTCTGTTTGCCTTGAAAACAGTCAACAGAGTTAATAACTTTCAAAATAATATCTACACAAAGACCGCCTCGAACCGAATTCATACCATTAAATTGTGTCTTGTAACATATGACAACAAACATGTTTGCTTTACTAGAAAATGAACCGCAAAACTTGGAAACATTGTTGCAAATTTTGTTCACAAGTATGTACATACTGTAATGTTACTTGAACATTCCATGTCTATCTCCATGTCATTGACTGCACTTTATTCCATGAGTGAGATAATCTCAGTGTTAAATAATAATAATTACAAGACCGAAATCATGTGTTAACCGGAATTCTTCTACTACTTATCTCATAACACTCACGACAGAAAAAACTCAAAAACACACACACCACAGTGACTTTGGTGAGTTTATTGATGAAAACTTTTAAATCGAATTTGATAAAATCATCTCGAAAAATTTAAACTTCGCAAACATAAATTGATTGTTGGGAAAAATGAGATTGGAAAGATTAGCGCTACATATTCTTGGAAATTAAAAATTATTTGATGCAGATAGCATGATACTGAAGACAACCTGTTGACATTTTTTTTATCAAGAGCGACTAATCCAATGGCAAATGAAATGTCTTACATCCGTAAGATGGACTTTTCCGCACTGTGATCCACAGCATGCATATTTGTGTAAGAGCTGTTCTATTGCTTTTCGGGCTATTTTATACTACTCATTACATAAATTTTTGAAAACAATAATTAATCCAAAATCAAAACGTTTTGTTCAATTTTCAATCATTTATTTTTGTTCCTAACAAAAAAAAAATAGCAGTGAGACAAATTTTCGTTCAGCTTTGTGTGAATGTACTTTGCCGTTCTCTTGCTTGTATTTCAATTTTTCTCATTGATTGTACCGTTTATTTATTATAATCTTCCTTGACCATATGCGCACCTTTCTCACCCACCATCATAGAAACTGCGTATGTGTTTGTACTTATTGCAACTGGTAAACTAAAAAAGACATGATTAAATAAATGAATAAATAATGAAACAGTTATCAAATATTGCTATTGTGCTTAAGACTTACATTCCCAAATCGATTTGTCTCAATCCAGTCGTGTTGTAAACTTTCAAACGTGGATCAACTACTGAGTGTGCATCAACGCCCATTTTACTTGTACCCATTTGGTGATATGGCGGGAAGGACATGTATTGTACGTAACAATCCCAATAAATATCTGAATCAAATTCTAGTGCATCACATTCTTCAATCGGAATATGAATAAATTCTGGTTGAATATCTTGGAATGCATCTGATTTCCATAACTTTAGATAGTGCCTTGCTGCACGCACTAATGCGGCCCTATCACTTGGTTCATCTAATAGATTTGCATAAATAGCTGCCGTTTCGCTTGAACCTTCTGATGAAGTTGTGTTCAATTTAACAAAGCCACGTGACTTCGGTTTTACCAATTGTATTGCAACTAATGTTACGTGATTATCTTTCAATTCATTTATAAAGATATCATTTATTTTTTCTAAATTGGTGAAATAACTTAATTGAATAATGGCATCATCTGGTGTTCCACGGGGAAAAGTCAGCATGATCGAGAAAGTAGTTGGCCATCCAGTTTCATTGGCGAAATTCGCCCAGTGTCCCATGGCTGTAAGAGGCAGCGCATACATTCCGCTTTGGCTCTCTAAATATTGGTAATAGCTTTCAAGTGATGATATTGATGGTGATGAATTTACCGAAAAATTGGATTTGAAGAGCATAGCCAATACAACGTGTTCCATTAATCCTTCGCCTACTGGTAAATCCGCTTTACACGATATGTTATGTTCTTGCAAATGTTCCTTTGGGCCAACACCTGATCGCATCAACAATGTGGAACTCTGGATCGAACTGGCCGATACTATAACTTCTTTTTTCGTTTTAGCTTGTAGCTTATGATTTTCCTTGAGGGTAAATTCAACGCCAGTTGCTTGGTTGTTCTCATTCAGTACGATTTTATTCACAAATGCATTTCTTATAACATGTAAATTGGTACGATTCCGAGCTGGAGCCAAAAATGCTTGTGCTGTACTGCTTCGAATACCATTCGAAGTAGTTGACTGTACTATCGTGTATCCAAGCGATTTATCAGCGTTTACTTCCGGAATAATCTCAGCACCAGTTTGTTTAATTTTATCAAAAATAACTTTATCTGCTTCGTTTAATTGACCAGTTGTAACTTTCATTGGCCCATCTGCATTGTGATATTTTCCATTTTGATAGGCAAGAAGTGATGGATCTTGATTTCCTTCACTTTTTTTAAAATATGGTAAAACACTTTCAAAATCCCAACCCGGATTCCCAAGCGATGCAATTTCATTGTAATCATTTTGACACCCCCGAACGTAAAACATCAAATTGATCGATGAACTGCCGCCTAACATTTTACCGCGTGGCATATAACAACCTTCACCGTTACCTAATTTACAAGCTGATGTTGAATTTGCATAAAACTGCCAGGCAACCGGTGTTTTCAGCATGGAAAAACTCAAAGCGGGCGCCTGAAAAATGTCAAACATTGATTATATATTTATTGTGATAACTTTATTCTTTTTCTTTTCATACAATAGATTCCACTGGAGGATCACCGCCAGCCTCTAGTAACAAAACCTTCCAATCTTCTATCTCGCTTAAACGATTTGCAACTATAGCACCTGCAGCTCCTGCTCCAACAACGATAAAATCGTACTCTTCATTCAAACCTAAATGACAATTGAAACGAACAACAAATTAAAAGGTGAATCTGAAAATTACACTTTATTCACGCAAAATGCAGACCATTTTTCAAGGCATTTTCTCCGTAATCTTGTGGCCATTGGTCTGATAGACCACACTGAGCTACCAATATCGTTTGAACTAATGTAGTGAATAATTGACTGGCCGTTCCAACACTTGTCACAGCACAAGCTGTGGAGTTGTAGCAATTATTCATTTTTTATGAATAAAAAAATATTCCCTTGCTTTTAATTTGCTCAGAGCCAAAATACTTTTGATCAATATTCACCCGCGAATTGAGCTTATATTTTCGCGTATCAGTATAAAAAAAGGCGTGCTATGTACAGAGATTTAAAGATAAAAATCAAATACTATTTAAAAAAAACGTGATGTTGGGAACTTGAATCACATGTCAAAGATAAGGAACTAGTTAATCTAGCAATATAATGAAGAATGTCATGTGAGTTTCGCTGCTTCAAATTAACATTGTCAGCGAGCGTGTTTGAAATAAATCTTATTGTAAATGAATTAGCAGGAAATATAATAACGAAAGAAAGTGAAAATTTAAATTGGATTATGGTCATAAAAATTCATGCAAATATCTCAATCAAACAGCACATAGTTCCACCAGAAAATCTTCTGCTGCCAACAAAAAATATGAAACGTAGAATACGACTATTCAAAAGAAAATCTGGAAACTGCTGGAGAACGACTATTTTAAAAGTCTGAAAAGATTGGATGAGGAAAGGTGGACAAAAATTTTAATTTTTCTCATAGGCATCACTTCCGACATGAAAGGATCGAGTACTATCTGTCAAAATATTTCCCCCTATGCCAAGCGAAATTAATTCGATATACGGCGCTGATGTAAATGTCACTCTGTCATTTCACAATAATACTTTTTTGGCTTGACAATATATAAGCTCTTCATTTAAAATGCATACACATTCATAATTATTGAATCGTTGAAAAAAATATGTCATAAAATATTTTTCTAACATTTTTCATTAAAAAAATTATTAAAAATTTTTTTTTATAAAAAAATTAATTTGTTTATAAATTACAATAATTTCAACAAAAAATGTTTCATCGATTAAATAAGAATCCAATGTAAATAGTAATGACAATGCGACACCTACCGTAAAAATGCAAAAAGAAACTTAGTTGGTCTCCATTGTAGCATTTTGGTCCGCCATGACAGCATCTTCGTTTTACTTGACCAATCACAGAGAAGCAAAACGAAGATGCTGTTATGGCGGACCAAAATGTTACAATTCCAAATAAGTTTCCTTTTCTATTTTAACGGTGGGTGTCGCATTGGTATTACTTTTTACATTAGATTCTTGTTCAATCTATGAAAAAAATGAAATTATTGTTATTTTTAAACAAATAAATTTAAAATATAGAGAATTTTTATGATAAACGTAAGAAGAATATTTTATGATATGTTTCTTTTTTTTACTCGACCGTTCAAAAATTATGCATGTTGAATGAAGAGCTTATATATTGTCAAGCCAAAAAATGTATCATTGTGGAATGACATAGAGTGACATTTACATCAGCGCCGTATATCGGATTAATTTCGCTTAGCAAAGGGGGAAACGTCGTACTCGCTCCTTTTACCCTGTCAACCAAAGTCACTCAAAATCTAATGGTTTCTATTCTTCATAAGCCCCAATCATCCTGTGAAGTCAGTTCCAAAATTTTACCTTACACACTCGGTGTGTGCGGAAAAGTAAAATACTTTTCAGCTTCATTAACTTTTTGCTCTCAAATTAAGTATGCCCAAAGTATAGGACAGCGTTTTGAAGGTAAGTACACTGTTAATTACGCATTTCATTCCATTTCTGTGAATACGTTAAAGGAATATTCGAAGGAGCTTCAAACACATAATAAAATGAGCAAAATAATTAAATCGCTTGTAAAATGGTACTACTGATAATATTTGGAACAAATGTCGACATCAAATGAAATTATGTTTACAATGAGCTATAAATGGCTGATGAATAACACGGAGTAGTTGCTGTATAGTTATGTAAGGAACGTGATTTGAGCCGTAGAAATTTTACGACATGCATGCGCTTAATGATTAAGCAGATATAAACAAATATAGCTATTGTTGCGTGAGCATTTTGAATGTGATTGTTAATTGATGCTGAATTTACAATGACAAGCCGCAACAATTTGCACAGGCAAAATTCCATTGCGTTAAATTGCTTTTGAAAACGAAATCGTTTTGAACGCAGCAAATAAATGAATAAATGAACAAGTTGATAAGCGGCATTTCTGTAGCGTCAAAAGTGAATGAGAATAAAAATAGGGAAATACACATTTTTTTGTGTCGGAACACCCAGAATAGCAGGGCTCTCACCAAATCGGAAAGAGATAAAAATGTCGCTGCACTCATGATGATTAATCATTGCAATGTTCATTTGGGACTTTTCATTTTGCATATGTATTTTTTTCACCGTTCGAGAGATTTTTTGTGTAAGCGGCTTATATACGAAATGGTTTTACATCCTATTAAAGTGATGGAAATGGAGGGGTGAAGTACTTATGATAGATCGGTTCATTTCACAAGTAAAAACCTTTTATAGTTATTTGACTTTTAAGATTCTGCTCTGAATATTTCGAGTGATATAGAAAAAAAATGAAACAATGTTGATATCGATTCCTTTTTCCTTACCTTCCATGGCCAAATAGGCAAAAAAAGAAAAAGAAAATGAAGATATCAAGTGAAACAATACGCAGCGGCGTATCTAGAGGTCAACTTTAGGTTTTTTTTCATCAATACGATAAATCTATTATCATAACATAGTCATATTTTTGCAAGACAATTATTTGGTGAACAAAAAGGTTTTATTCGTGTTTAGTGTTAATTGCAAAAATTATTCGCTATTAAACTGACATGCTAAAAAACGGCGACAGTTCGTGTGATTGGCGGAATATAATCATTAAAGTAACTGTTTTTCATAAATGGGTGATATAATTTGCGGATTATTTATGACTGTTCGTGCTAAAACATTTGATAAAAATTGTTTTTTTGTAAGCAAAATTTAGCTATAAATCTTGATAAGGAATTCATTTTCATTTCAGTTGTTACCAAACAGACTGTTGAACACTTTAGAAGAATTTTGTACCAAAATGAAATATACAGTTTTTTTCGCAATCATCGCAGCTTTATTATCGGTTATAAATTGTAGACTAGGCAATGACGGATATCAAACGCTTTGCATTCACAAATATGATCCAGTTTGTGGAGCCGATCAGAGAACCTATGGAAACTTATGCGAATACCAAAAAGTTTATGGGAACAACGAAGATTACACCGAGGGACCATGTTCAGGCAATATTCCAGCATAACCCAAATGCAGTTGCTCTCATGATACCAGAGAAGTTTGTGGAAGCAACGGAATAATTTATAAAAATTCGTGCCAATTGAGATGTGCACAAAAAATGAACAAACTATTACAAAAACAAGAAATGAAATACTGCCAATATTATTATTATTAAGAACTTTCTTCAATTCAATATATTTCAATGAACATATGGAAAAAATTGTATTTTTGAAAAAAATAAATGAAAAAGCTTAAAGATTGCAAAATAATTGATAATTTTTTTCAAGTCTAACTTTTGCACACTGTACTTTTGTGTACACAGTGCATCATTAACCATCTAATTCAAATTTCTGACACCAATAAAGGTTTTTGGCCAATTAAGGGACTACTGACGCAATGAGCAATTCAAAATATGCTATTTTTTTATAATATCAAAATCCATATTCAGTGTGACTTTCTGAACGGAGTAAGTTTTTTCCTATTGGCACTCGTTCCAATATTAGCCAAAAACAATACCAAATCTAGATTTTGATTTACTTTTCTATGTAAAAAAACAGTGTATACTGTACAGTTAGATACTTTTTATGAGGTATTTAACTGTCAAAAATTTGTATGTTATCATTTAGGCACATTTAGGCATTTTTACACACTTATTGTAGTCATCTTTATTAAATCAAACCTACAATAAGTAGATGTATATACAAATAAATAAAATTTAGCAAGTTTGTAAGATATAAAGATAAATCTGAGTATGGAGTAATCTGACAAAACAAGGTCATAAATACCCGAGTGAAAAATGGCATTGAATTTTTCAATGCGTAGTGTCAAACGGCATTTAAGCAATAAATCGACACCGCATGGCTATAGCGATGTGGTGTATGCACTCAACGTGCGCACGGACCATGCGGTCTCGATTTATTGCTTAAA